ATGTCTTCAATGTAATAAAAGTATTAGTTAACTGGATTCAACCAGGTCTAGAAGCAAGTCCTGTACGACTTTGAGCAAGTTACTTAAAGTCTTTGAGTCTCAGTTTCCCCACCTGTAAAATGGGGGTTATAGGTTAAAACCACATAGGTTTGCTGTAAGGACCAGGTGACAGTTTACACGCAGGGTCAGGCACATGACCCAGGGGTGCTGACAGTAATTAGATAGCTCCTCTTCCTTCCCCTCTCCTGACCTGCCGGCACAGTGAACACCCTAAGGCGAAGGGCGATACACCTGCCTGGGGTTGCATTTTCGCAACATGAGTCATTCTTTAAAGACTGAGCACATGCCAGGCCCATGATAAGTCAGTCCTAAGAATCTTGTCCCACTGGGAAGAGCTCACTGCCTAGCGGGAGAGGGTTTGAGTGGCATAGAAAAATGTTCGTTTATAAAACTTTGGTTTTGGGTGGAAATCCTACTTTAGAGGGCTGGCCAGAAAACACAGATTTATATCATTAGGCCTGGATAGAGTTTCTTTTAAAGACATCTGCTGGTTTATGCATATTCTCTGGGCATGTTAGGAGTCTCCTGATAAGAGTCTGAGTATTGTAAGAGGTTAGTTCTCCCATAGCATCGTGGGTAAGGGAGTAATTCAAGGGTGGAGCTGATATTGTCAAGAAAAGTTGTCTTGAAAAAGAAAAAAAGTCTTTAGAAAGGATAACTTTTGTTCAGGAAGTGACCCTGAAGGGTTTGACATCAAGATTCCACTTTTCTGATGCTTCGACTCATGTGAGTAAGCAGGGCTGGAATTTGAAGTCGAATCTCTCTGTCTTCACTTTGATCTGATGTGATTTGTCCAGCCCTCCACAGCAGGCCGTTTTAAACGTAAGTAGCCGACATAACTTTGCAAGAGTCAGCAGAGTTGTGATGCAGTTCAAGGAAACAGCAGCAAGCACGTAGCCTCAGATCCAAGAACTGAAAGTCATTTTGCCAACAGAAGAGAAGACCGAGGCCGCACAGGCTGAATGTCCTGCTCACCACGTAGCTAAGGAAGGGCGGGGTGGGGCTGGGGTTCCAGGCTCCTTATCCTTCAAAGCTCAGGACTCCTTCCCCAGAACTCCCTAGTGCACAGCAAGGAAAATCCAGGGTCTCCTACTGCCACGTGATGTGGTAGAAAACGGCACCCACTTTGAAGTCGGAAAGACATGGGTTCAAATCCTGCACCTAGTTATGCACATTTGGGGAAATAATTTAAGCTCTCTGAGCCTCAGTTTTATCATATGCAAAGTGGGGATAATAGTGTGCCTCCTTTGCTGGGTTGGTGTGAGTGTCGGAGATAATGTAGAGATGAAGATAACTCTTGTCCTGAGGTTCCACATCCACAAAGCCAATCAACCTTGACTGAAAATATTTAGAAAAAATTCCAGAAAGTTCCAAAAAGCAAAACTTGGATTTGCCATGCCCTGATAACTGTGTACGTGTATTTACACTGTATTTACAACTATTTGCTTAGCATTTATATTGTATCAGGTATTAAAAGTAATCTAGAGATGCTTTAAACCACACAGGAGGATGTTCGCAGGTTGTATGCAAATCCTAGACCATTTTTATATAAGGGACTTGAGCATCCCCAGATTTTGATATCCACGGGGGTCCTGGAACTGATCCCCCTCACAGATAATGAGGCATGACTGTAACTTATCTGTGGTGTGTAAAGCATTTGCCCCATGGTAGGTGCTCAATAAATCGTAGGTAAGTTTCAGAATTGAATTGAAAATAGCTTTATGCAGCGGTTAACTGCAATCTAAGAATACTCTGGGCCAATTCAGGAGGGAAAGGACTGTGGTATACCCGCAGCTCGGTCAACTGCACACACACAACAAAAGACAACTCTGACATCCGAACAGCGCCTCAAAGTTTTACAAGGCATTTTCTCGTTACAGAGCACCCACCTTACAAATGAGGAGTCTGAAAAAGCAACATCCCTCCCTGGTCAAGGAGCTGCTGAGCAGCAGCCAAGGCAGCAGACCGCAGCTCTCCCAGGCCTCTTGCCTCTTAGCCCAGATGCCTCCCCCGTCATCCTTCAGGAGGATGATGGGATGGATGTGTGTACACAGATCGCACCCGTGGAGAAGGCCCCACATCCGGCTAATGCATCCAGGTCTGCATCAGGCTGGGTTTGAGTCTCCACCCCCATCACTTGGTAGCTGAGTGACCTTGGGAAGTTACCTCTTCATGCCTCAGTTTCCTCATCTGCACAATGAGGATGATTCTAATAGTCCCCGCTTCATAGGACCGTGGCGCTAGTTAAATGAGCTAGTGCCTGTGAAAAGCATGCAGTAAGCACTCTATAAATGCTGGCCACTATTACTATGCATCAAACAAGAAAGATACGAACCTGGTGTGAAGGGCTCTCTGTCAAACGGAGCTAATGAACGATCTAGGGGTGGTTTCGTGCTTCTGTCTATGGAAGGAGCAGGGACTGGAAGGGAAAGAGACAGAAGTCAATCCAAAGAAAGCAGTGGGCTGGGGGAGGGAGGCGGGTGGGCTGGTGGGCAAGAGAGGGCGGCCCCTGTACTTACGCTTTGCTGTTTTCTGGTTTCTACTTCTGCTAGGCTCTTCATGGTTGGGCTGGGGTTGGGGTAGCGGCTGCTTTAAAAGAAACCCTCGTTAGGAAGAATTTCCAACACATCCTCAAGCCCTGGGGGTTTTCATCCCCCCACATACGTCTGCATCTGTTCACTTTTCTCCGTCTCTGTGTTCCATCCACACACGTAGCAATTCTCACCCAAACAATGGCCTGCTGTCTGGGATCCCTGTTCCATACCCTGTGAGACTATTTTCTCAAGGTATTTTCTGCATGCCACTCCCCTGCCAAGCTTTGTAGTGGCTTCTGTCACAATTGGAACAAAATTAAAACTCATCATGGTCTGCAGGGCCTGCCTGAGCTGGCTCCTGTCCACCCTCCCAGCACCTTTTTATGCTCCTCTCTCCCCTGCACGTGGGCTCTCACTGTGTCTCTTCTTGCAGTTCCTGCAACATCTCAAGCTCGTGCCCTCTTTGGGCATCTCTGTACTTGTGTTTTCCTCTGCCTGGAATGTTCTTTTCCCGGCTCTTGCCACAACTGGCTCCTTCTGTCCAACTCAGTGTGACCTCCCCACCCACCTTGTCCTCTGGTCTTCTGTCTCCCTGACCACACATTACTACTCAAGTGATCTTGTTTCTACACCTCTTTTCTTGTTTATTATCCATCTCCCTCTAACCCAAATCAGAACTTCATGAGAGCAGGGACCTTTTCTGTCTTGTTCACGCTCTGTTCCCAGCAGCTGGGACACTGCTGGGCACTGCTGTTCAATAAGCATGTGTCGATTGAATGAACGAATTCTGCATCCCAAGGATGAGGTGAAGGCCTTCAGATTTCAAAAGCAAAACGTGTGTTTAAATAAATTCAGTTCCGTGAGCCCCCTTTGTAATAAAGCTGCACAAGCAAAAGGGAGCCATCTGTTCTTAGATGGGGGATCCCAACCCTGGTGTGATCTGGATTCTGAGCTCAGGGGAAGAAAAAGACGTCGTCTCCCCACTTTCAACCCTGAACTTGGCGTTCAGCACAGCTGTCAGAGTGCTGTGGTCCCTTGTGATGGGAACACACCTCCAGCTATTGACTCCTGAGCCTGAACTTCTCGGGGTCTCTCTGGATACAGACACACCTCAGAGACACTGCAGGCTTGGTTCCACACTACCGCAATAAAGCAAAAATCAAAATAAGGCTAGTGATGAGAAAAAATCATAAATTTCCCTAGGGCGGGACAATCAGACTAAGTCAGAATTGAAACACACATAGCATGCACCCATTTGTGACGGGCCTTCCCCAATGTGCAATGTGCACCTGCCGTATCCATTAACCAGACCTCCTCAAGGCAGGAGGACGTAAGCAAACTTGGAGAAAAATGCTCCCTTTCTTCTGATGCCAGCATTGTGATTTTTAAGTTTATTATTTCTTTCTCATCCTGTCAGGGGGTCGATTGACCTAAAGGCTCACTCTGTAAGTGCACACCTGACCAAAACATTTCTGAGTAACTTTGTGTGTCATGTTAACCTGTCAGTATGATACATAATTCTTTGTCTCAAAGGTGTACAAAACTGCATCTCTAGTTCCTGACCAGTGGAGCAGTTCTCAGAGCTTCTGTGAGTTTGTCTCCCAGGTTACAATCCTCAGTTTGGCTCGAATAAAATTCTCTTTTTTTCTTCTTAGTTTGATGGTTAGTTAAATTTTCATCAACACCAGCTACTCAATTTTTTTGATTTCCCAGTAAATATAAAAGTTACATTTATACTACACTGCAGTCCATTAAGTGTGCAGTAGCATTATGTCTAATAAAACAATGTAGATATCTTAATTTTAAAATATTCCTAAAAAATATTAACCATCATCTGACAAGGTAGGGTTGCCACAAATCTTTAGTTTGTGAAAAACGCAGTATCTGGGAAGCACAATAAAGCGAAATGCAGTAAAATGAGGTGTGCCTGTACTTAGACCCACAGAGCCTGAGACTGTAAGTTTGAAGAAAGACGAAAGAAGGTGGGAAGGTATAGTTCAGTAGAAGAGCACATACTTAGCATGCACAAGGTCCTGAGTTCAATCCCCCGCATCTCCATTTTAAAAAAAACCTAATACTAAATAAATAAGTAGATCTAATGATCTCCCCCCACCAAATAGAATAAAATAAATTAAGAGGAAAAGGGGTTTGCTTCCTCCCTGGGTTCACGGTGTGAACACACTTTGGTCTCAGATCTTTTGTCCGTGGAATTTCAGGCGTTGGCCAGCAGGTGGCGCAAGTCTCTTTGCAGGAAAGAGCAGGTGGTTTGGGACCGATTTACTTGGTCCTCAGTTTATTTTACAGTTTTCACTTATTTAAAAAGTAGGAAGTAATAACACAATAAATATTAGAAGGGGACTTTTGCTATACAGGTAGTTTATATCGTTTGTGGTAAGGAAAAATACCGATGATAAAAGCATTGTGTTTAAAAATCACCAATATTTCACCCCCAAAAAGCCCACTGTGAGTACTTGGGGCTGCGTTTTCCCAGCCTGCATAGACTTTTTCCAATTGGCTAAGACTGGGTAAAGATGACCGTTGTTCCGTTCTCTCTGCAGAGGACACCATCCCGCGGACGCGGAGTGCGTAACAGGGAGCGCGGAGCCTACCGTGTGAGCCCGGCCGGAGGGCGGAGGAGGGAGGGCGGCCATCGGCCTCTGGGGGGGCACGGGCGGCTGCTGCGCTTTCCCGGAGGGGGGCCGGTCTGCGGAAACGCAAGGGCATTCACGTGAAAGGAGGAACGCTGCATCTGGCAGAGCTTGTGGGCCGCGCCCAGGGCTCTCCAGGAACCCATGCAGCGCCTGCTCGCCTCATCTCCCAGCTCCGGGGATCCCCCAGCCCCGCACCACCACCACGGCCAGCCCAGGCCGGGGATACGTCCACACCTGGGTCCTTCAAGGGGCGGGAGTCCTTGGCCCCTTGCCTTCTCTGCAGCTGCTCCACTTAGGAGCAACTCTCACCTCACCTCTGGGGAATGGGTATTTAGCAGAGGTTTTGCTGATGAAGGTGTGAAAAAAGGCCTCTTGGTAATTAGCTCAGCTAATATCTCGAGGGAGTGTTTTCAGACAAATTGTAAAAGGGGTAAACATACACATGCCCCCACGTATACAGACGCACAAATGCACACGCACGTGCAGACACACACACACACACACACACACACACACAAGCACACCCGGCTGCCTGGGCAAGGTAACGTCCACTGTCATGGCTCAGGAGGGTCCTGCTCGAGGTCCCCTACCTTCCCCTCATAAATGCTCTGGGCTGTCCTCCCCCTCCCCCTCCCTCCTCCCTTAAAGGGAGGAGCTGGTCACCAAAGCACAGACTTCACCGAAACTCACATTACTCTGAGCATCACAGAAGTATCCCCAGGCCAGGCTGACAGGCCGGCAGTGTCCCGCCCCTCTGACAGGGAAAGGCCAGCCTGGGCCTGTGAGCGGGGCCTCCTTGCCCTTTTGTGCCCTGGGGGCCTGTTTTGCCCCCGCCTAGTCCCAACCCTGGGGAGGCCGCCCTCTTTCACAGAAAGTCGGGTTCAGAACCCCACAAGCCTGGTCTCATCTCATACCCCTGCACCCACACTGGCCATCTCTCAGCTCCTCTGACCTGTCATGCACCTTCGAGCCCCAGGGCCTTTGCATGGCCATTTCTACTGGTTAGAATGCTCTTCCCTTCCCACAGCTGCCCTCACTTAGCCAACTCCTACGCATCTTTTAAGTTTCAGCTTACTGTCATGTCCTCAGCGATGCAGACTAGGCACACACCCCAGCCTCATTTCCTGCACTTGTCTTCCTGAATACCTATCACGGTTTAACTAAATCATTTGGTGACTCATTTGTCACCCACTGGACTATGAATTCTTTAGGGTGAGGGCTGTCTCCTGGCCTGTTCATTCTGTATACTCATAACTGGCATATACCAGGCACTCAGCAGCTTGGTTATCTATTTCTTCTCTGGGCCTCAGTTTCCCTGTATATGAAACAAACTTGATCATTGTTGCTCGTTTCACACAAGTTGCTTCAAAACACAGAATGCAGTGTTGATTGTGTTTATGAAACGGCTTTAAAATTGCCAAGTGTTACACAGCCTGAAGGACAAGCAGCACTAATGTCTGTGGCACTGCTCATCAGTGTGGTGGCTTGCTCCTTGATGCTCTGTTAGGCAGGGCTGCGTGTACCTGTTTTCTGTCACCAGCGCCGCTAGAGTGTAAGTCCCGTGAGGCAAGGGCTGTGTCTGCTTTCTGGATGATTTCACATTTCACCATTTAGAATGATGCCTGGCTCATAGTAGGAGATCAGTAATTTTTGCTAATTGAATGAGTAGGTGAATGAATGAGGCAGACAGATATGGGCTGATAGGAACAGATAGATCATGAAAATCTTAAATACTGTTTAAAATGTTTAAAGTTATGGTCAAGTCACATCCAGTATCATTATATTTATTCTGACAGTCTGTAGGTAGCAGTGCCACATAACCGTGAATTGGGCAAAGATTGGGAGGAACAGGAAAGGACTCCTGAGCATCAGAGTGACACACAGAATGAGTTACTGCCAGTACCCTTAAGTGGCAGTTCAGGGCTGATGTCAGCCACCACCGACAGTGATTTATCTGCAGTAGTAATAATCCTCACAGCAAACCCGTGGTCGGTATTATTATTATCCTATTTCACAGATGAGGAAATTGAGGCCCAGAGAGGTGGAGTCACTTGCCCAAAGCCACACAGCTGTTCAGAAGCTGAGCTGGCATAGCACACAAAGCTTTCTGCTGCATGGGTGTTGGTCCCCCCATGCATCAGTAGGGGCTGGGCCGCCAGGGCCCTTACCTATGTACATGGAGTTGGAGTTGGAGAAAGGCTTGGCAGGCAGGATGGAGTTCTGCAGGGCTTCCTCGTCATTGGAGGGTGGCGGCTCATAATCGGCATCATCTTCCACCGGCGCCTCTTCCTCCTCATTGGGGGACTCATAGTCACCATCGTCCTCCCCATCCGGATCATCATTGGGACTTTCATAGTCATCTTCTTCCTGCCGACGCAGTGATGGGGACAGTGTGGTGTGTAGAGGCTCCCTGGCGCACCACGTACCTGCACCTGCTCTCCCTCTGCCGAGCCTCCCAGTGGTACTCACTTGGGGGTGGGCAGCACTAGGACGGTCCCTCCCATTTACACACGAGAACACTGAGGTCAGGGAGTACAAATCTCAGGGCCAGAGAGATGTAGACTTGGGACCCCCATCAAGGCCTTCAGACCACAAGGTAAGTGTATTTTTCTCTGCATTTTTTTTTTTTTTGCACAACATAGAAAAGCAGAAGAAATGAGAACACTGGACTAGAGGGATGTGACAGCCCGCTGTTTCAAGTAAACACATTTTTACTCCAGGCGTCGCCAAGACGAAGACTAACCGCCTGGAGCGCCTGTGATGCACCTAGTTAATTGTTAGTTCTGTTCTCAGGGTGCCTACACTCAAAAATTTCTTCCCACTGTGACCCGGTGCAGCCTCTAAGACAGTGCTAATGGGGAAACCAGATAAGCAAAACCGGGTAATTAGAAGGCAGATTAAGTTGTGCCCGAGCGGGGATGGTCAGGGCTGGGCTAGTCTTTCTGCTGAGAGCTGAGCATATGGAAACAACAGCTTATTGTCCATGGCATCCGACAGCTGGAAGAGACACTTTCTAAATTTTAAATTTTTAATTGTATTTTACTTGTGCTTCTTTGTGGGTCTCAGGGAAAGTAACCTGAGGGGCTGGGTGATTGCCTGGGAAGCAGCCCGTGGAAGTGGACAGTTACAGAAATGATTTCCCAAGCAGGGGCAGCAGCAGCAGCTGCCGAGCGATGACTGGCTTGTCAGTCAGTCTCAGGCCAAGGCCAGGTGGGTACTGAATGCGCCCAGGGCATCCCTCTGGAGTCACGAGCAGTGTGGAAAGAGGTAATGGGAGGCTGAGGAAAGGAACGGACTGACAGCCTAGAAATCCTGACAGCTTTGCTCAGCGGCTTAGGGAAGACTGTCTAAGGTCCTCAACTGAGAGGTGCCTGTGTTCATTTTTGAATTGAGGAATATATATATGTATTTGAACATCAGAAGGCAGGGTGAGGTTGAGTATCTTCCTGAACTCTGAAAAAGACTTCGTCCTGCCATCAGTGTTCTGTACCTTGAGAGCAGGGGACGGAACCCCAGGTGAACGGGACTTCAGAGCCGCGGCCTCAGGGCCTCTCCAGCCCTTGCTGACTGCCTCCCGGACCAGCAGGGGGTCCTACCGCCTCTCGGCCCGCACACCCCAGCCCCATGGCTCCTGATTTTCCACCAAGCCTTACCCCATAAGCCCTTCTCAACAATAGCCCTTTCCTCTCTGCTTCTATGACAGTTACTTTCTCCCAGGGACTTGGCTCCTATATTTGTATGCGTGTTTTTGTCCCTAATCATCTTCTGCCCTGTGTATGTGTTATCCAAGCTATAGAATGGTCATAGCATTGGGTTCTTTCTCTCCTCCCCGTCCCTCTAGTGCCCTGTGTTGTGCGGGCACATGATAGGAACCCCAGCTGTGGTCGCCAGCAGCGACTGGAGGCTCCTGGTTTACAGAGCAGACTGGGGAGGCCGGCCTCAGGCTGAGCTCCCGCACAGGAGGGACTGCCCGGCAAGCAATGGCAAAGAGGCAGTGAATGTAAACATCTGGGGGCAAGTCCTGTCTCTTTTCCTTTTATAACAGAATACATCTGTCATATTCCTTTGCTTTTGTGTAGAAAGCACAGACTTAGTTAGCTTTTCCTTTTTCCAAATTCGATGCTTCCTTTTACCAGAATCCCAACAGGACAGGGGATGTTTAGCGCCTGCTTCCTAACGGCGCTAGAGGCAGTCGCTTACCAGAAAGCCTACTGGACTGAGGGTGGGCGACCGGGAGCCTGGGCCTGCCTCTAGCTAGCTGTGTGGCTCCACAAAGTCACGGTCCCCAGTGGGGTCAGCTGCTTCATCTGTAAAATGAGCAGACAGGGCTACGAGCCGTAATGGAGTCAGCCTGAGCCTGGCTTCAGGTGCAGTGACTACCTGTACAGTTTTCTGGGGAGAAGGTGTGCAGAATTCGTCAGACTCTCAGTGGGGTCACCATGGCCCCTCAAATATAAAAACCAATTGGATCAGTGGGGAGGGTATAGCTCAAGTTTTGAGTGCATGCATAGCATGCGTGAGGTCCTGGGTTCAATCCCCAGTACCTCCTTCAAGAATAAATAAATAAACCTAATTACTTCCCCCTACCAAACAAACAAACAAACAAACAAACAAAAAACCAAACACACACACACACACAAAACCCCAATTGGATCAGACCTTCCTTGAGGTCTTTCAAAGCTAATAAGTTAATTCTGAACTCTTTCTCCCTCTGTGTGGGGACTAAAGTCTATAAGAAAAGCTACTTTAGTGTAGACCATGTGGAGGAGGGGTTTGGGGAAGGCCCTGCTGTGGGGGTGGTAGCGGTGTGGTCAGCACCCCAAGCCCACGGCCAAGTCCAGCCCTCCGTCTGTGTTTGTCAGCACACAGCCAAGCCCGTTCATCCCAGTGTCGTCTACGGCTGCTCCCGTGCTGCGAGGGGAGAAGGGAGGGTATATGACACCTTGTGGATCAAAAGGCCCAGAAGCTGACTATCTGCCTTCACAGAGCACGTCGTCTGAGCCCTGGGTGGCTCTAGGGGGGCCTTGTGCAGCTTTAGGCATTTATGCTTGTTCTTTATTTATTACAAAAGCGCTTCGGAAACTGCTGTAAGGTGGATGAACGGCCCACCCCATACTCACAAAGGATGACCAGCCCCCGTTGTCTTCTTCATGGCTTTCTGTGGAAGAGGATAACGCCATCATCAGTACCGAGGAAGCCCCGGGAGGGGCGGTCAGAGCAGCCCCCCACTGCTAGGATGCCCCCCTCCCCCGCTGCCTCCTCCCACCCCGGCCTTCATCCTCCCTCCCAGGGCGTTAACCATTTAGTACTGGCCCTAGGAGTTTTACCTGAAGGCTCCTTCTACCAGACAGGGGTTCTCAGCCTTTCCCATGCATAAAGGTCACCTGCTGCTTTAAAATATGCAGGTACCCAGGTCCTGTCCCTAGAGCTTCTGATTCAGCCTTTTAACAGGATGTGCAGTTTAACAGTTGAATAACTGCTTTAAAAACTCAGAAGCAGTGGGATTAGCTCCCCTCAGGTGCTCATTCAAAGCCCCGGTTCTTCCATGCACCCCGGGTCTTCCATGCACCCCCTCACTGTGTCTCTGCAGAGGATCCCCTCTGAGCAGGGGCCAGAGCCAGGTGCTGGCACAGTGACATGTCTCCTCCCCTCAATCTGGACCAGCAGACAGCACTGAAGTGCCTGTCATCTCCCAAAGCAGTTGCTCTCTCCCCGAGACTCACCTGTCTCCTCGGGAAACCGCTGGACTTGGGGTCTGCAAGGCAAATAGCATTGCATTAATGGCCCTACAGACATAGGGCGACCTCCCTCTTTCCTCAGCCCCGCCCTAAAAAAGGAGCCCCTGGGGAGGGTATGTGGGTATGTCTCACCACCCAGGACCCTCTTCTTGTTGCTCCACAACCCAGCCCAGGCTGCCTGAAAATTCTGGAAACTACCAAAGCCATGTTGGTGCCAAGGCTGGGAGCTCGTGACTGCCTGACTTTCTAGGAGAAGCTCCCCGGCTGCCCCAGACTCGGGGCAGGATGCAGGGCAGAGAGAGGGAGCCCCTGGAACTGAAGGATCGCTGCAGATCAAAAAATGGGGACAAACCAGTCCCGTGCCTCCCATGAGAGATTAGACTTGGGTTTGCAAATTCCTTGCGTTTCACTCCGGTCCCTCACCAGTCCCACTCACTTGCGTGTGAAAATGCTCCTTCTCTCTTCATTCTTGTTGATTTCTTGACTTAACTTACTGAGAATCCTATAAGACAAAGGGACTGCTGAGGTAACACAGCCATTATCTCTCCCACACCCCAGCCTTCCTCGCACTGAGCCCTGAAGTTCCCTGATCCATGTGACCTCAGGCACCTGGGCCAAGCTCGACCTGCCTCCTCCTCCAGCCTCCAGCCAGTCCCTACACAATGCGGCCTCTGCTCCTCCCTTGCTCCCAGAACGTGTCACCTCCATCTCCCTGCCAGTCCCTGCCTCTGCCCAGGAACCTCTCTGCGTCTGGCTCAGCCTCCTGGGTCTAGCTCAGAGCCCCTCCGGGAAGACCGCCAGCTCGCACCTGGCTCCTTCTTGGAAACCCTGCAGCCTTATGCTCTGGAGATGACTGCCGTGCACTTTGTTGTGTTAGTACTCCTGGGGCTGAGGTGCCCTGACTCTCGGTTTGGCATCCCTGTGGTGATGTCTGGCTTCTAGAAATCTTCAAACCGTCTCAGAGCCTCGGAGGAACCAGCTGCTCATTGCATAACTCTTTACGAGAGCTAAGGTGGGCTTCTTTGGCCTGAAACCTCCTTCCATTCTCTACTCCCTGACTCCTCCTTGGTGACATGGATTCTTATACACACTTGGTGAGGTGTTCCTGATCGAGGGACAGCCTGCAGAGTGGGAGACTCCGTGAATCACCCATGGCCGGAGGTTATCCTTGCCAGGGACCGCCTATTCCTTGGGTGCTGTGAACTAGCAAGTCTCCAAACCTCCACGCGCAGCACGGCACACCCTGGCAGTAAGCGTCCACTCCGTGGGCTCTCTGGAACCTCCAGAATGACAAGAGGCTCCAGCCTCCCTTAGCACCATTGCTGAGACCAAGGGAGCCCTCAACAGTAGACGGACTCACGTTCCCTAGAGATTTAGGGTAGCTGGTGGAGCCCCAGAGGTGAGCTAGTCCAGCGTCCTTATACAGATGGGGCCACAGGCCCGGACAAAGGAAGGCACCGGCCTGCAGTCGCAGGTTCGTGATGAAGGCCACCCTCTCCGCACAACACAGACCAGCCCCCGAAGCCAGGCTCCCTAATCTCCGGAGCAGCACGCTTTCAGCACATGGCATCCCGTGTTACTGCCCTGTGTGCCCTGGGGGTGAAAGCCATTGAGCCGGCGGCCCATCTGGGAATGACCCCGAGTCTACACGCCTGTTTAAGTGACCACCTCAAGGTAACAAGTTTGGCCTAAAAATTGCTGAGTTAGCAAAAGCAGTCTCGGCACCCACCATTTCTTGCTGCCCTCCTCATCCCCCAGCCCCCGTTCCTCCCTGCTTCTCCCTGGGAACTGCTGCTCAACTCATTAGAATGACAAGGTAAACGAATTTCAGTCAACACGCTGGGGGCTCAGGAGGACCGAGAAGGAAGGAGGGCAGCTTCAATCCTAGTCACAATGTCATTGATGGAATTTCACACGTCACTAGGGAGACGCTTTAAAGCAGGGGTGGGGCTTCCCAGTGGCCTCCTCATCACACCACCAGAATGTGGTTCTGTTTCCTTTAAGCTATTGTTTTGAGAAGCCGGTGGGAGGCCCTCTCCTTCCCTCCCTGACATGCGATGGAGGGGCGCCTGCAGAACTCAGGGGATCCTGCGCCCTGGCTAGGTGAGGCACTGGTGGCTGCAGCCACCACGACCCCAACTCAGTCACCCCTTCATTCAACAACGTGCGCTAAAGGGCCTTCTAAGTGCCGGGAGCTCTGCTGGGAGCTCGGCGAGCAAAGCAGACAGGGATGCCAGCACTCAGGAGCGCACCTGCCAGCGGAGAGGGACGGGCAGTAAACAGTGAACATTTAAGGAAGTGAAATTTGAGGTGAGAGCCGTGCGTGCACACGCAGCGGCGGTGCGGGCTGGGTGAGGCGGCCGGGGCGCGTGGGTGCCGTGCGGTTGCAATCGAAAATGAGCGGGCCTCGGCGAGGAGGCGAGGTCTCGGGAACGACCTGACGAAGCGGGTGCTGGGCAGCATCTCGACGTCCCCAGTCCCCCAGAGCGTTTGGGCCCCCCCCCCACTGGCTTGGCAGCCGCTTTGATCCTGAAAAGACCTCGCGCTCTCTGCGGTACCTCTTTTTTACCAGTATCTTTAGCAGCCAGGCTGGAGGCTGCTGGGGCTCTAAGTGGTGAAGGAAGGAAATGTCAAACCACAGGCCCCCACAGAGGAGCAGTAGGTTGCTGAGAGAGAACAGAGCGGGCCCGGCAGTCCAGCCTGCAGCAGATGCAGGCTCCCAGGGCC